TGCGTCTGCTGAGAAGAAAAACAACCAAAGGAATTGCCTGGCAATTAGTTGTAATACTACTCCACACGACTACGGCTGCGCCATGTTATATTCATATTAATATTACTTACACTACCGGCTGTGCCATGTTATATTCATAGTAATATTACTTGATCAATAAATAAAAGACATTACTACATCACATAACACACTGTTTGTCACAAACCAACATCAACTGGCGATTACTTCAGTTCAGTTCAACAAGCAACTAGTGTGTTGCCACATATATATAACAATCCAGGCAAAAGTTTAATTGATAGCTTCACAAAAATATCTTGTGCATATTTGCCGAGATATACACACTACGTATTAATAGTGTGTATAATTTTGTTAATACAGTACACTAAATATCTTTGGATCCTACAGCAATAGGATAATGTTCTGTTTAACTGCAAGTTTGTACTAGAGAGTGATTCTTGCTATATCAGGAATGAATATGTGAGGCTTTTCATATAGTGCATTTGATCTTGTATTAGAACTAGTGAACAAAAAATTTTTGTTTTTATAAGGGTTAAATACTAGAACCTGAAGATATAATACTCCTAAACTCACTAGACTTAACCCTCTCAGCGTTACGGCCAGAAAATTCTGTATACAGTACAAAGTCCGCAATCCGTACTCGTCGGGATTTCGGCAATTCCAGATTTGGGATTTTTCCAGATAATAGATCATCAATTTAAATCTGGTAAGATGGCATGCAGAAATTATACAATTAAAAATATGAAATCGTAATTTATGAAATAAAGAACAAATATGATCTAAAGGGTATCAAAATTTACAAAAAGCTTAATATTTATTTGTTTGCTTTATGAAACATTTCTTTCGATGTAAGTTGTTTAAGTTGCTTCCATAAAAAAATTCAAAAAGTTCCTTTTTTTTTTTTTTTTTTTTTTTTTTTTTTTTTTTTTAAATTTTACATACAGTTGGCTTTCCAATGTCATATTCCTCGTATAATTTTGAGATGGATGTGCCTTTATCCATTTTTTGCAGCAATTCCACTTTTTGTTTAATGGACATTGAAAAATGGTTTTGCTTAGCAGATACTTCGGCAGCCCCAGAATTGGAAACTCTTTTCCACATAATAGAAAGTTCAAGCTTAATTTTTATAAAAATTCCGCAATAACAGTCTGCAAAAAATAATAAGCTGTATCAAATTAGAACATCAGGGAGCAACGCAGTCTGCTACATTAATTGAATGATTATCTATATTAATCAGAATCAATAAAGATAATCTTAGCCTAGCTTAATAGCATCCACTATAGATTATTGGCTATGTATCACAAGGTCGGCAATGAGAGACAAGTTGTTTCGCTAAATTTTTTGTCTTGCTCCTCTTGCGTACTGAATTAAGCCTGAATTGTGTTACTTTAGCTATTTACTGCACCTATATTTATTTCTTGCACATGCTTAAAACTAATTTGAGTCCTGAATAAATAAACTCCCACATATACTTAAGGCTTTATCTAGGGCCGGCGTTAGATACCGCCTGTTGCAGTCTCTAAATTCTGCTACAAAGGGCCTTCCTAAGTTCTAAATTTTCGTCGTGCCTAAACTTCGGATCCCAGTGCTTTCCCCCCCCCCCAAAAAAAAAATTATAAAAATCTTTTCATCCCTTAATTTTGCCGCTCGGTGCTTCGCCAAATTCCAAAAATTGTGTCTTCTCTAAATTCTGCCGCTTCTGGGTTTATGTTGAATAACATATCAGTTATTCTTAATTAAAATAGTACTAAATGTGATCTTTTGGCCTATGAGTTTCATTAAATCTATTTTTAGCATATGAAAAGAAATTTTTGTTGAATTTATCCTCGTCAACATTTCTTAGATGATTTAAAAAATTTATAATCATTGCCAAGTGTAATGTTAGCAGAAAGGGTTGCCTTACTCTTGTTATTGAATTACTACTATTAAAAAAAAGTTTAGATATCACTGCATGAGTTATTACTGAAGCTGTCATGTATTGATAAGCAAGCTGTGTTGAAAGCAAAATATAATAAATAATGACTCGCCAGGTCGGTGTCAGGGATATAAAATAGATGACTGTTTCGGTTTGAGATGTAATGCCAAGCAGACACTCAGCTGCGGAGCCAAATTATTAATCTCACAAATATATGCTTACATGATTGTTTTTTCATAATGATGTATTTTATTTAGTGCCTAAGTGAAATTAAGAATCGGAATTTTTAAGTGAAAATCTCCACACGTTTTATTAAAGGAAAAATCAAATGCACATGCATAAAGCATACCAAAAAAAAAAAAACTGTGGTTTTCAGGTCCGGATTTTAGATTTTAGATCATTCTGGATAATGGACGCCCAGATTTTGGACTATAGAAGACTGGCTTCGTTATTCATTATACATGGAAATTTCTGCTAGGTTTTAATGTAATCGATTTCGATTTGGATGTTTATTGAAATTAAGGAAATCAAGGTACAAAGTGAGAGAGTAATCTTTTAATTAATATCAAGAAAATAATACTTATTCATGACATTTTCAGGGACTTTGAAATTTCAGGACTAAACCCGTAGTGCTCAGAGGATTAAATATGCATGTTCTTGAACTCCAAGTTTCATGATACCGCAAACAAGAATGTTCTTATATGTGAAAGGTTGCATGCCATGTTGCTACTAAGAACTGTTTTGTAGCTGTCAATGGTACTTTTTCAAGAATGTGCATCTTTACCTCAGGAAATACTAAAGGATTTTTTATAGCAATATGTTAAAGTATTTTGCAACACATATAAACATCCAAAGTAGCAACATATTGTATGTAGGATTTCCATGTGGTTGACATCCCTAACACTACTAGTGCATGCTGAATTCTTTGTGTCTATTTACTTTTTCTTTTAAATTTAAGCCAGTTGAACTCATATTTGTATTTTTAGTCCATTTTGTGTACTTATTTGTTAGTTTAATTCTTTTGGACTAGATTTAATATGACAACCATTCAGTTGGTGATTATTTTGATTGATTGGACAAGTGTATGTAAAATACATTAATAGTGTAATATGATATATTTTCTTACATATCTTTAATACAGTACGAGTCGTTGGGACTTCGGCAATTCCGGATTAGGGTTTTTTCCGGGTTATGAATCATCAATTTAAATCTGGTAAGATGGCATGCAGAAATTATACAATTAAAAATATGAAACCATAATTTATGAAATGAAGAGCAATTATGATCTAAAGGGTATCAAATTTTTTTTAAAAAAAAAAAGCTTAATATTTATTTGTTTACTTTAGTAAACATTTCTATCAATGTAAGTTGTTTAAGTTGCTTCCTTTTTTGTGCTAATACTTTCTCTTTAATTCTATAAACAGAAATAATTTCTTGTTCAGTTACAAAGTCCACTGTTCAAGTCCTGTAATTCCTGTGTCGAGAATACCGACTAACTTGTCAATCAAAATTTTTTCGTTTTCAATAATGTTCTCTGTTACTTTCTTCACTATCGGAAGCGCGCATGGGTAAACACTTTACGTGCATGCGTAAGTTTGTGGCTTTGAGGTCCGGATTATAGATAATTCCGGATAATGGACGTCCGGTTTAGAGACTTTGTACTGTGTTTATATATTCTTAATGAGGGCGATTCTGAGAAATATTAATTTTGAAGTCCAAAGTTGGAAAATAATTTAGATTTCTCTTGGTGTAATTAATCCTTGGTGATTATTAACTTAATCCAAAATACTTTATATATTGGTTACAGGAAAACCCTGCATACTGAATGTAAAGTGGACTGAGTAGATGTCAAGTTGCTGAAAAGCAGACATCTTTAATATGTACATACACATATAAAAGTGTAAGGGCATATATAAAGTCCACTAGTTACGATGTATTGCTACAAACTCATCGATTAAAATCACATGCAACTCATTTGATTTTTTTCTTTATCTGTTAAACACCTTTATTGCATAAAAAGTGAAAGGGCATACATAATCTTGCAATAAATTGATTATCTATTAAATAATAATTAATTTCAGAAGACATTTTAGAATTCAAGATAACTTGATGAGATCTTGACTTCAGAAAAGTTGATTAATTTAAAATAAGGCTATCGAAAGTATCTATCAAGTATCTATCCTAAGAATGTGAAAACACTAGCAGTCTCATCTTGAAGAATCTGACTAGGTATTCAAAACAAAGAAATATTACTCAAGGCTAATACAACCTTTTTCTAGAACTGAAATTTATTAAACCAGGCAGCTTGTATTCTAGAAATAAGAAAACATAACAATATATTTAATTTAAGAAAATATGTCCACCATTGAAAAACTTGGGTATTACAGACAGTCAAGTTCTCAGGCCACTGAAAACTACTCTGTTCAATCTAATAGAAGGGAAAATATTCAACTACTTATTTATTAGCATTAGCATTTTGATATTTTAGTAGCACAAGAATCAAACTTTTATCGGGCTTTCTGCAATATGTCTTTTATTGCTACATAATAAATTTGTATTTTAAGTTAGCTTATGGGTAAATGTAGCATTAATAAAGCATATTTCTTCTTAATTATTATGCTTCAGTATGATCTATTGGTTTGGAAGCATAACAAACTGATGTTTTCAAACCAATTAGTTGCTTTCACTATTCTGTCTCTGTCAAAATAAGTTCTAAATATAGCACTTGAATTTTGTACCAAAGTAGTAGACATGTTTGTTAAAAAGATAGAAAATGCCTTAATCATATTAAACAATATTGGGCATTTAAAATATAGCTGCACAGTTTCTTCTAATTCTTTGCAAGCAGCAAGATGACACAATGTTTAACACATCCAGTGTCTACATATAATAATAAAAAGTTGTTTTGGGATGCTGTTATTATTATTATTTATTTAACATATCGTAAATATTCCCTAATGTCATAATGTGTTAGTAAAACAAAATATTATATTTGGTTTACTTAATGCTATTAAAATTTTATTTATTGTCTGTACATTATTAAATTGGCCGAAAAAATTCTGTTTAGGTTGAAAGACCATCACTATATAAAAAAATGCCAGTTGTTAAAAATCCGGTAGAAGAAGCCATGAAAGAAATAGAAAATCTCAAGTTAGAAAGTAGGTGTACTTTATGATTTATATAGAAAGTATTCTGAATATTTGAAATGGTACTTACGCGTTATTGTGACCACCTTAATAGAAGTTACCAAATTTTCAGAATGTGCCACACTCTGGGAGCCATGTTTGTAAGAATCCTTCAGTGAATCAACAATGTCATTTTTGTATGAGTTCTTTTTGTTGCATTCCGAGTTCCAACAATTTTTATAAATAAATCTTCATATTTTTTGCACTAATTTTAAAATATGCACTTTTGAAAGCAATGGAAGAAACTGTGGTAACATTTATGCAGGAATACAGAATTTTGCCGCAAAATCTCTTAAGAGTACAATGAGGAGATGCGTTAGAGAACCGGTGCTGCAGAGTTTGAGCATTGCTGAGTCTTTTCAATTCGTTGATGTTTTCTTATGTGAAAATAGATCATTGTGTTCTTGAGGAGAAGCACTTCTTAAGCACAAAAAAATTAGAGAAAGATTTAGAAATGAATGCAAGTGCAATATTTTTTTAATGTATCACATAATCCTTATTTAATAATTAAATTTTGTATTTTAAATTGCTAAAGTATGTTTCATTCTCATATTTTGATAATGTCTGTGAACTTTCGGTAAATATCAATACTTAAAGAAATATTTTTTAAAAAGGTCACAAAAATAAGCAACTGGCACCTGATAGATACTAACTTTTACATTTTCATCTGCAAAAAGTTGCCAGTTTGCTTCAAGGTGGTTGCTTTAATACATAAGTATCTTTTAAACTTTTATCTTGTATTAATTTCAATGAATAATTAAACTTTTATTTGACAGATAAAAGAATTTCACAGCTTAAACAAAATGCAGCCATTCCTGTGTCACCAAAAGTATGACTTTAATTCTTTTTATTAATTTATGTCTAAGAATAATGCTTTAACTAAATCTTTATAAGACAAATTATTTGCTTATAATAATTTATTCTCTTTACATGTGTTTACAAAAAAATAACCATTGCTTCTGAATTTTTATTTTGTGTAAAATACCTGCATAAGTATCCTACTTCTGGATTTTATTATGTTACAAAAAATAATTCAAGTAGTTTCTTGTCCAAATTTATATCGGCAACGGGGGCTTCCTTCTAAATATATGTGTTCATATGGTGTTTGAAAGTCTTTAATTTCGGCCAAAATTGGCAAAAGGTCCTTAATTTTACTTATCTGGCATTTCAATTAGTTAAAAAACTATATATAGATCATTATGTTACAGTATGATCTATTTGTTTGGAAGCATAACTAAATAAACTAATGCTTTCAGACTAGTTGCTGTCACTTTTCTGTCTGTCCCAAAATAAGTTCTAAATAGTATAGCACTTGAATTTTGTACCAAAATAGCAGTCATGCTTGTTAAAAAGATACATAATGTTTTAATCATATTTCCCATTAACACAATGTTTGAGCTCTAATATGGCTGCACAGTTTGTTCTAATTCTCTGCAGGCAGGAAGATGACACAATGTTTAGTACGTTGAGTGGCTACATAGAATAAATAAAAAAAATAAAGTTGTTGTTTTTGTATGCTGTTATTATTATTATTTATTTCACATATCATAAATGTTCCCAAATATCATAATGTGTCAGTAAAACAAAATGTTATATCTGTTTTACTGATCGCTGTTATAATTTTATATATTGTCTATACATTATTAAATTGCGAAAAAAAATTCTGATTAGGTTGAAAGAGCGTCAATATATAAAAAAATGCCACTTGTTAAAAACCCGGTTGAAGAAGCCATGAAAGAAATAGAAAATCTCAAGTTAGAAAGTAGGTGTATTTTATGATTTATATAGAAAGTATTCTGAATATTTGAAATGGTACTTATGTGTTATTGTGACCACCTTAGTAGAAGTTACCAAATTTTCAGAATGTGCCACACTCTGGGAGCCATGCTTGTAAGAATCCTTCAGAGAATCAACATTGCCATTTTTGTATGAGCTCTTTTTGTTGCATTCTGAGTTCCAACAATTTTTGTAAATAAATCTTCATATTTTTTTCACTAATTTTAAAATATGCACTTTTGGGAGCAATGGAAGAAACTGTGTTAAAATGTATGCAGGAATACAGAATTTTGCCACAAAATCTCTAAAGAGTACAGTGAGGAGACGCGTTTGATAGATAACCAGTGTTGCAGAGTTTTGAGCATTTGCCAAGTCTTTTCAACTTGTTGATGCTTTCATATGTGAAAATTGATCATTGCATTCTTGAGGAGAGTGCAATGATCAATTTTCACATATGTGCAATATTTTTTAATGTATCACATTAGTCCTTATTTAATAATTAAAATTCATATTTTAAATTACTAAAATATATTTCATTTTCATATTTTGATAATGTCTGTGAACTTTCGGTAAATATCAATACTTAGCAAATCTCTTTAAAAAAGTCACAAAAATAAGCAACTTGCACCTTATAGTAACTTTTACATTTTCATCTACAAAAAATTGTGTTTGCTTCAAGGTGGTTGCATTAAAACATAAGTATCTTTTAAACTTTTATCTCCTATTAATTTCAATGAATAATTAAAGTTTTATTTGACAGATAAAAGAATTTCGCAGCTTAAACAAAATGAAGCCATTCCTGTGTCACCAAAAGTATGACTTTAATTCTTTTTATTAATTTATGTCTAAGAATAATGCTTTAACTAAATCTTTATAAGACAAATTATTTGCTTATAATAATTTATTCTCTTTACATGTGTTTACAATAAAATAACCATTGCTTCTGAATTTTTATTTTGTGTAAAATACCTGCATAAATATCCTACTTCCGGATTTTATTATGTTATGAAAAATAAGTTATCTCTTGTCCCAATTTATATCAGCATCAGGGGATTGCTTCTAAAATATGAGTGTTCATATAGTCTTTTAAAGTACTTTAAAATCCTTAGATCTTTTTAAAATGGTTTCTGGTGTTTTAAAATCTAATTTCGGCTAAAATTGGCAAAAAGTCCTTTTTTTTTTTTACTTATCTGACAATTTTGTCAGTTTTTTACAACTATAAGTTTGTGTGTAAAATATTTTGGTGGAATATTTTTTGATGATGCATTGGCAAATATATATTTGATGGGTTATCGCTTGAATTCTTTCATATTTCTTAATATAAACGGTGGATACTCAAGTTTTAGGCATTAGACCCTGTCTCAACTGAAACATAAACATTGTGAAATAATTTTCTTTTTGAGTGAACAAGTTCATAAAATATTATATCAAAAATAATTTTTTCCTTTTTGGGATATGAGTTAATTTATTATTAGGCACTAAATTTAGCAACTTACCAAGGTTTGAGATATTCGAGATCGTAAGTGTTTGTATAGAAAATTTTTATTCAGAGATTTGTGAATTTTGGGGCCATTTTTTTACAAAAATAATAACATTGATAAATATCATAAAAATAGTGATAATAAATAAAATTGTATTTAAGAAATAATACTAAAATAAAACATTTTAATTTTCTCCTGCTCCATTTTAAAGTGACATTATTTTCCATTTTTGTGATTTAGGAATATTTTGATTCGAAAAATAAACAAAATAATAAATGATATTAATTTAAAGCACAATTTTTTAAACACTTTTTAGAAAAAAAGCTACTGTAATTATTTTTAATTAATTTCATTTGTCTTCATTTATATTTTTTCATGATAAGAGTTTTTTCTCATATAATTATGTCATCTGATTTTAATGTGTATCAGTTTTCTCTTGAGAATTCTTTTCTGGTTAACCTCTCCCACCCACCCCCTTTCAAAAATTTGGTTTTTTGCTCTTATAGAGTTGGTAAGGACTTTGGACCTTGCACCTGAGAAAGTTTAGAAGAATTTTAAAGCAAGATTTATAAACCTACAATTCCAGAAAAAAATTACAAAATGAAAAGTGTGTCTTCATGGCATTACCGAGTAATGGATGTGTTTTATAAGAAATTTGTGATGGGTTTCTTATTATTAAAGAAATAAAATTAGTAGTTTCTTCTATACGTTCTGAATTCAAGCAGTATTAGAATACCTGAAATCTTAAATTAAATCTGGAAATTCTAAAATGAAGAGGAAACTTATTGGAAAAGAAATTGATTTTAGAAAAGAGGGAAAATTATTCTTCAAAGATACATTGTTGAAACATTAACAAGTTAGAAGATGAAGGAAAGACTGGTGGGAGCGTTGATTTGTTTATTGAAAAAAATAAACTTATAAAAGATGCTTAAGAGAAAGAAATTGATGTAAATTAGCTAAAATATCTAGAAAATTTTCAAATTGAAAAGACGCATAAATATTTTGTATTTTGTTATTGCTACAAAACTTACATATTTTGTATAATTATTTTGGCTAATGATATAATAATTATTATTAACTACTCACCCTTAAAAGTTATCTTTATGTGTTAAGGTGAGTTATCGACTTTTGTTAATCCTCATTATAGATGTAAGATGCTGCACAAAAATGCAAAACTTAACATAAAACTTTATTCCTTACAACTAATGAGACTTAAAGTAATACAAAACAACCTATCATCTCTAGTGCTACAGCAGCTTATTTTTCCAGCATTGCTGATTTAGCCCTGAAATTTTAAAGTTTCTCAGAATGTCATGAATGAATGGTATTTTCTTGGTTATAATTAAAAAACGATTCTGTCACTTTGTACCTTCATTCCTTTTCTTACAATATGCATCCAAGCCGAAATTAGATATATTAAAAGCTGGCAGAAAATTCCGTGTGTAATGAATAAAAAAGCCACCCTTCTATACAGAATTTTACATCCATAATGCTGAGAGGGTTAAATACTGTATATTAACTGATATATAGTATTTAACAACTGCAGCTAAATGCAGCTATTATACAACTGCAGCTAATCTACACAAAGCTACGACATTAACTGGTTCAAAGGCAACTAACTTTCAACTTTTACCAACCGCATAAATGTCAGATGCTCACATCTGTTCTGATCAGCATCCCTCTCTCTTAGCAAACAGCAGCAATGGCGACAGTCCAGCTTCTGTTTACGAGTAATGCTGATTACTATTTTACTTCTCAATTTAATCTATGTTGGACATAAAATCTGCATAAGCCTTTGGACTAAGGAAGTACATGTTGAAATGAGGTATAAAAGAAATTATAAGCATAAAGCTAACTGTGAGAAAATTTAAATAAAAAGTCACTAATCTTTAAAATATGTGAGACTTATAATGTTTAAGTTGCTTCTTTTTTTTTTTTTTTTTTTTTCTAATACTTTCTCTTTAATTCTGTAGACAGACGTAATCTCTTGTTTGGTTACATTGTTCCAGTCCTATAACTGCTGCTTCGAGAATTACAACTAACTTGTCAATCGAAATTTTCTTGTTTTCAGTAACTTCTCCTGTCACTTTCTTCAATGTTGGTAGCGGTATTTTCTAGATCTAAAAACATACTACAGATTTCACCATTTATTAATTGATTGATGATTGAGAAGCATTATCATCACAATGAAAAACTTCTTTTATATCATTTCATTTATTACTGCTTCTCCACATTTCTTTACAAAATCAATTAATTGGGAAATTTCACCTTTGTTTTGGGATATTTGAAAACCTTTGAAATTAGTGGCTATCATCATCAAATTTAGCTATCTTCACTATATATATTTGGCTATGCATCATGAGCTTGGCGACTAATGGCAAGTTGTTCTGTTAAATTTTATCTTACTTCAATCGCGCACTGAGACTGGGGCCATACGAGCTCTGGCGCTGGTTCTGGGTTTATGTGAATAACAAATCAGTTATTCTTAACCCGCGGGAAAGCACGTGGGGTGTATCATAACCCACCCTTACATAAAAGTGGAATATTCCTAACTTGAGAAACTGAAATTCTGTGCTGCATTCAGTAGCTGAGTTTCTAGTTGGGGTTGACTTTCAGAACAGCTTTTTCTTTGCCTGTGTGTTTCAGAAACAGATTTATCGGTATTTTGTTGGAACTGGGGTATGACACGCCCCTGTCCGCGCAAGTGTTTTTATGACCGAATATTTAGTTCAGAAATTTATTTCTGGAGTGTAACAGTAAATATTTCTACTCGCAAGTGATTTTAAAGTACTTGACATTAAATTCTTGAAAATTTCTAACCACATTATCGTAAAAAGAATGACTCCTTATGAATTGCAGATGCAACGCCTGTGATATTTATTAGAAATATTTGAAAGCGATGAAGATTGCATTTCGGAAACTGAAGTTAAAACTAGGAATATTTTCTACGCTGTTTTGGTTTTGAAAAAGATAAAACGTTAATTCCTAATGTCCCTAAAAAAGGCAAAACTGTTCTTATGCTTTCAACATTATACAATGATCATACTATAGATGATACTTATTGGAGAAAATAAAATGCCAGGAATTACATGTTTTTATAATATGACTAAAGGAGCAGTGAATATGGGAGATGAAATGACAGCCAATTATTCAATTGCCAGAATAACAAGGAGGTGGCCAATGGTAATTTTCTTTCCTGCACTGAATGTTGCTGTAATAAATGCTTGAATTATATTACATTCAACTGCTAATACACCAACCAGAAACAGAAGTCTGTTTTTGAAGGACTTAGCATTACAATTAATGAAAAAAAGTATTGAACAAAGATCAGAGATTAATACTTTTCCAAGAAATTGACGTACTGCATGCAAAACAAAAGCAGAAGTTTCGACGAAGAATTAAAACGAATACATGAAATTCGAAACAACTAAGTATGAAAGATGTGATAAATCTTTTGCCCTCGCGCCAAGGACAGAAGAACGTGAATGCAATGTTTAAAATGTGAAAACATTCTGTGCCAAGAACACATGAATGTATTTCGTTCAAAGTGTGAAGAATAAATAAGCATGGTGTATTAGAGATGCAATACGTTTTTCTTTTGGTTTCATTTATGTTGCGTGTATTGTGAATGAACTCCTCATTTTTAAACACAAACTTATATAAATAATTGCACATACAAGAAATGACATATAAACTTATAAATACGAGAACAGAACAAAATAATGAAAAATAGACAGCATTCAGCTGCCTTGCGAATGCGTTCGTCTGAGTCCGACTGTTCAACTGAATTCAATGTTCTTTGGCATAGTTCCAGAAGCGAAAGAGTCAGGTTGAGTTGTTCTGTTCCGGTACACTGGAACATTCTCCCACCCGATCAGGCATTAGTTCTGATATATGGGCAAAGGAGCTAATTTATGAATGTTTCTTTTAAAAATAGAGCTTTTAGTTTTAACCGTGGCCACACGAACCAGTCCGTCAGCACCATGATGAAGTTCGACCACTTGTCCTAGTGGCCAAGAACCTGGAAGATGACCATCATCTAGTAACAGGACGATGTCTCCAATTTTCATATTCGGCTGAGTGTCCTTCCATTTCTTTCTGGTTTGAAGAGAAGATAGATATGCTTTGGTCCATGATTTGCAGAAGTCCTTCCGCATCTTTTGAAGGAGATCCCACCTATTCCGTATATTGGCAGGACTAGTAAGAGGTAGTTCAGGAGGGGATAGGATCACGTCTCCTGTAAGAAAATGTGAAGGAGTGAGAATATTAATGCAATCAATGTCAGTATTGTTTACACTACATAACGGACGAGAATTTAAAATGGCTTCTATCTGAGCC